ACCACTTCTGGCTTTTTCTGTGTGGTACTGAGAAATTGAATCCAGGGCTTTATGCATGTTAGGCAAGCACTCTACCACTAAACCACATTCCTAGCCCAAGAGTGCTAGTCTTAAGCAAAAAGCCCAGGCCCTGTGTTCAGCTTCTAGTGGATGCCCTGGCACGTCTGAGCACATGACCACAATACTCCCCTTCATATCAACATCACACCCTCCTCTTCTGAATCTGTCTCATTAGGACATTTGTCACTGGATTTGGGGCTTACTGAAATAAGGCAAGATGATCCCTTCATTTCAAGATTCATAACTCAGGAGTGGCAGTGAATGCCTGTAGTCCCACCGATGTAGGAAACAGAAGGGTCTCAGTTTGAGGCCAGTCTAGACAAAAATGCTAGGCAGACCCTATCTCAAAAACCAAGCCAAGCCAGGTGCTGCAGTTGGCTTGTGCCTGTAATCTTAGCTAATCAGGAGGCTGAGACCTGAGGATCACATTTCAAAGCTAGCCCTGGCAGGAAAGGCCTTGAGACTCTTATCTCCAACTAACCACCAGAAAACCAGAAGTGGTGCTGTGGCTTTAGTGGTAGAGTACTAGCCTTGAGCTGAAATGCTGCAGGACAGCACCTAAGCCCAGAGTTCAAGTTCCATGACTGACAAACTAACTAACAAAAAACAAGCCAAACTGGGTGCTGGTGGCTCACACTTGTAATCCTAGCTATTCAGAGGCTGAGATCTGAGGATCACGATTTGAAAGCCACTTTCCTGGGCAGGAATGTCCATGAGCTCCTATCTCCAATTAACCACTAGAAAACTGGAAGTGGCGCTGTGGCTCAAAATGGTAGAGCACTAACCTTGACTCAAAAAGCTCAGGGACAGTGCCCAAGCCCCAGGTTCAAGTCCCAGGACTGACAAAACAACAGCAATAACAAGACAAGTGTGGTGGTGCACTTCTTTTTTTTTTTTTTTTACTAATTCAGACTTGATCTGTTTTTATAGGTCAGTATGGAAATCCTCTAAATAAATACATTAGACATTATGAAGGATTATCTTACAATGTGGACTCATTACACCAAAAACACCAGCGTGCCAAAAGAGCAGTCTCACATGAGGACCAGTTTTTACGCCTAGATTTCCATGCCCATGGAAGGTGAGTAATTTGTTATTATGTCTGAACTTTGCTTTTACTCAACTTGTTTTAAAAGAAATTTATACTGTTAACCTTTTTCTCTTAATGGGAAGGTCCATATTTGGAAATTCAGCCTCCATGGGATTTTGATGTATACATTAAAAAAAGCCTTCTTTTAAATAGATTACCCTTATGTTTGTAAGGAAATCGTCTTTGGATTTATGAATCAAATAGGTGGTGCACTTCTTTAACTAGTATTTGAGCGGCAGAAGAACTCAATCGGAAGCCAGTGGTGGAACAACTTAAGATTCCAACTGAGAAATGAAAGCAGAAAGGTCTAGAGCATGGCTCCAGTGGTGGATGTTTGTTCAGCAAGCATAAAGCCCTGAGTTAAAAAAATCCAAGTGCTTAAAAACAAAACAAAACAAAAAAAACCCTTCACTTAATTACATGAGAAGACCTTGTTTCCCAAAGAGGTAGCATTACAGGTTCTGATTAGGACATGGATATATATATTTTTTGGGGGGGAAGCCACCGTGCAAGCCACCATATTTGGAAAGTAACTTTCATTGCTTAGCACAGTAAGACAATGTTATGCTAAACAGCAATCATTGCTGGGTGCAGGTGGCTCACGCCTGTAATCCTAGCTACTCAGAAGGCTGAGATCTGAGGATCGCGGTTCAAAGCTAGCCCAGGCAGGAAACTCCTTGAGACTCTTATCTCCAATAAATCACTAGAAAACCAGAAGTGGCACTGTGGCTCAAGTGGTAGAGTGCTTGCCTTGAGCTTAAGAGCTGAGGAACAGCCCAGGCCCAGAGTTCAAGCCCCATAACTGACAAAAAAAAAAAGAGGCTGCAGTAATCATTTTGCTGCCTATTGCTTTTTTTTGTTTTGCCAGTCCTAGGGCTTGCACTCTGGGTCTGGGCACTGTCCCTGAGCTTCTTTTGCTCACGGCGAGCACTCTACCACTTAAGTCACAGCATCATTTCTAGCTTTTTCTGTTTATGTGGTACCGAGGAATCGAACCTAGGGCTTCATGAATGCTAGGCAAGCACTCTACCACCAAGCCACATTCCCAGCCCCTGCCTATTGATTTTTACTTTTCACTCAGTAAACATTAATTTTTTTTTCCTTTCCTCCAGCTCGTTTCAAATTAGAGTTAAAAAACAAAACAAAACACAGCACAACTCTTTAAGGGGACAACAGGAGGTGACAAGGATAATCCTGTGAAGTGGATTGCCAATGCCTTGGCTGCAGAGGCCCGCCCAGCAGGAAGATGGAGGAAAACTGGGACTGCAGGTGGGAGAAACAGGATACATAGTTACCTTTGTCCACAAAAAGCATCAGCTTAGAGCCTCAGCAGAGATCAGAAAGGGAGGGCAAACATGGCAGGCTAGGTGTAGTGGTACATGCTGCTTATAATCCCGGACAAGTGTAAGACTTGGAAAAACTAAAAACCAAAGGACTAGGAGTGTGGATCAAGTGGTAGAGCTACTCAGGTCCCCTGAGTGCTCTGTCTCCCTCTTTCTCTCTTTTTTTTAGGGTCAAGGCCACCCTACCCAGCTGCTAGGGTGCTGTTGCTAACTCCTCTAACTTCTGCTAGTAACTTCCTTTGGACCACCAGAGGAAATGGCTCAGACGTCTTTGGGAGTCCATTACCCAATTCTGATTTGTACCCAGACAGGAGCCAGTGGAAGCCCACTTCCTTGCTTCAAAGGACAGTAGTTGTGGTGCTGCTTGTCTGGAACTCCTTCTAGAGTCAGGTTGATGACAGGCTTGACACTCACCCATGTCTAGCTAGGCCTACCTCCATACAGATTGGATAAGCTGATAAGCCAAAACCTACAGGACTTCAAAAAAGGGGCAAGGGCTACAAAAGGGAAGGACTGAGATAGATACACTGGAGGAGCTAGGCCCGAAGAACAGAAAAGTGATAAGAATGTGGTCAGGGAATTTATGGCCTAGGGCATGTTGAACAAACCTTTCCAGCAACAACAAAGTAGGTACAGGGTGAAAATAAAAGCTTGCAGTCGAAACCTACCTGGTACCAAATGGGGGCAGGGATTATAGAAGAAAGACTGAGCACTGAACTTTACAGGAAACAGAAAGGAGACCCACCTATCAGAAAGCCCACCTAATTCTCAAGCTCTATAGCTAATTCTAAGGCTTCAACTTGGGGCCTGACCCTGTCCCTTAGATTTTTTGCTCAAGGCTGGCACTTGAACCACAGCTGCACCTCTGGCTTTTTGCTGGTAAGAGATAAGAGTCTTATGGACTTTCCTATCTGGGCTGGCTTTGAACTGTGATCCTCAGATCTCAGCTTCCTGAGTATCTAGGATTACAGGTATGAGCCACCTGCACCTGGCAGTATGTCTTTTTCTAACTTGGTCTCATTGACTGGTTGGTCACACTTTGATCAACTGAGTAAAGCAGCTTCCTAGGAATCCCACTGGGCTGGCTACAAGACAAGCTAGCTTCAGCTCATGGGTGAAGTTCTAAGGCAAATGAAAGCCCTCAAGTCTCCTTGCTTCCTGCATCACTTGTCTGCTTCCTAATAACTCAAAGCAAGTGGCATCCTGGGCAGTGGACCTTTGTCAGTGATGGTGCACGGAAGTTCCCTGGACCCTCTGGGGCAGATTACAAGGAGATGGGCTGGATCAGGAAGCAGAGAGCATGTGGCCCCAAAACTAAAGGTCAGAGAATGTCCATCAGACATTCACAAGCTGTGAGCCAAGAAAGCAGTAACTTGATTCCTTCTAGAAGCAGGGCAAGAATCACTGGTAGTCCTTGTTTCTAAGCAGCCATGTCCTCATCCCTGCACGGGTCATGGACTCTGTGGCTTGTGGGGACAGGGAGGAGGGAGGGGCCTCTGGCACTGCAGGGGGGGTGGGGAGGGCAGGGGAGGGCTCTGGTCTCTTCTCACTCTGGCATCCTAGGATTGCAGCTGCTGTAATGCCTTGGAAGGTGGATGCCCTGGAGCTGAGCTTTGCAGGGGGGGGCGGGGAGCCCCTGGAGGGAGGTGGGGTGGTGAGGAGCAGGAAGGTCTGAGAGGCTCTTGCTTGAGCTAACAAGCCTGCTTTGGGAGAAAATCCTGAAAGGAAACAGTCCTGGAAACACAAGCCTGTAACTTCCTCCACCCTAGGGAGGCTGAAGCAGGAGGGTCAGAAGTCCAGGCTCAGCTTGAGCTGCAGAAGCAAGAGACTTGGCAGGCCTAGGGAATTTTCCAGAAGAGCGGCTGTGACAACCAGCCCTCCCACTTTGTGGGACTGTCCACCTGGCCATGATGCCCACCCGAGCCCATCCCTAAGACACCAACTGTAAGGGAGGAAGCTGCAGGCTGTGGGGACCTTGGCTGAGTGGCTTCTGAGCCTGTGTGCCAACAGAGCCACGGTGGACAGTGCAGGGTCCAGGGAGAGAGCTGGGACAGGTGCGAGGTGGCCACAGAGCGCCTTTACATAATAGATGAAAACAGTGCAAACCCAGGAACCTAGCAACAAGCTGTGAACCCGCGGAGCCGGAGGGCACTTGTTTATTTGAGACTGGACCTTGGGGGGGGGGCAAAATGGAGAGGAGAGGAAGGGAAGAGGAGAAGGGGAGGGGGGAGAGGGGAAGGAAAAAGAGGAGAAGAAGGTGATTGGGAGTTTAGAGGAAGGGAAGAGAGAAAAGGGAGTAGAGTGGAGAGGGAAGGGGTGGGAGGGTAGGAGGAGGGAAAAGAGGGGAGGAGCAGAAAGGCCAGGGGGTAGGGAAAGGAGGGGGAGGGGAAGGGAAGAGAAAGGAAGGAGTTGGGAGTCGTAGAGGAGGGGAGAGGGAAGGGGGGTGCGGCTGCAGGGGAGGGCAGAAGAGGGGAAGGGGAGCCCCTGCTCCTAGTCTCAGAACTCACCCCTGCCTGGCTGAACACCGCGATCTCCAGCCCTGGCCTCCCCAAGTTCTGCCCTGGAGCTGGGGAGGGGCGCAGGCTGGGGGCCCAGCCGGCACGGGGCGGGGCGGGCGGAGGGGGCCGCTGCCACCGATCCGCGAGGCCCAGGCTGCGGCCGGCACTGCCCCGGCCGGAAACAGATGAGCGCTGGCGAGGAAGCCGGGAGGGAGGCCGAGGAGGGCGGCCGCCACCGCTCCCCGCAGAAGGTGCAGAAACCCACCGTCCCCCATAAGGTCTCTGGGTGCCATAGAATCTGTGCAGCCTCTTCAGAGACCTCCCCTCCCCTGCCCTCAAGAATCGATCCCCTCAATCCCGGCTGGGTTCCCACCCGGAGGGGGGATGGTACTTAGCTGGGCCAGGCCTCCCCAGTGCACACACGGGCCACATCTAATGACCAGAGCCGCTAAAGGCCGTCACTGACTTTTCTCTTTTACCCTTAGTGCCTGGAACTCCTGGGTGAGTAAAGGACACCCCTTAATGTCCACACATTAGACTTCTAGAAAGTTGCTCCATGCCAACCACACGTTAAAAGAGCTGAAAATCTCCTCTGCAAAAAGTTCAGGCCATTTTTTAAAATTTTATTTTACTTTATTCAATTTAAATTTGTTCCAGCACTGGGGCTTGAGCCACACTTAGGGCTTTTTGGTGGTAATTGAAGAGTTTTGGGGACTTCTTTCTTGTCATTATCCCTTCCCTAAACAATACAGTAAACCAACTACTTATGTAACATTTACATTGTACCAGGTATAATAATAAACCCGGAAAGCTGGGGCACCGGTGGCTTATGCCTGTAATCTTAGCTACTCAGGAGGCTGAGACCTGAGGATCAGATTCCAAGCCAGCCCAGGCAGGAAAGTCCAGGAGACTCATATCTCCAATTAACCACCAGAAAACCAGAAGTAGAGCTGTGGCTCAAAGTGGTAGAGCGCTAGCCTTGAGCAAAAGAAGTGTAGGGACAGTGCTCAGATCCTGAGTTCAAGCGCCACAAGAAACAAAACAAAGAACCTGGAGATAACTTTCAGTATACAGGAGGAAGTGGGTAAGTGTGGTGCGAACACTAGGGTTTTTAACATCCAAGATATCAAATATTTACTGACCCCAGTTTATGTTGACACCACTGGGGTCTTGGTCCTTTCTCTACTGGAAAAGAAGGAAAGGACTGGTCTGTCCTGTTCAGCCTTCTTTCCACAGGGCTTTAGCACACAGCAGGTATGCAACAAACATTTGTCAAATCAATGAACTTCCTGAGATGCACTTAGGCATTCATCTTTGCTACTTTTGAACTGCATTCGGAATCTCCTTTGTATCTCAGCTTTGCAAAGGCCACCCAGAAAGGGTGTCGCCCATTGACTCTACCTTGCACCAGCCTATAACACACCTAAGAGCATATGATAAAATGCACTGGATCATACCTGATATAATGTAAATATCACACACACTAAGATGCTCAATGAGGTGAAGCCAATTTCTAAATGTCTGAGGTGAGAAGACTATAAATTGTGTTCTGCAAAGAAATGACAAACATCCAAGATGACAGAACATTGCTTCTGATCATTATGCATTGGTTTTTGGTTTTTTTTTTTGGGGGGGGTCCAGTTGTGGGCCTGAACTCTGGGCCTGGGTCTGTCCCTCAGCTCTTCAGCTCAAGGCAAGCGCTCTACCACTGAGCCACCTTCCCAGCCCATTATGCATTGTTTGCATGTACTGAATTATCACTTTTTTTTTGGTCAGTTGTGGGACTTGAATTCAGGGCCTGGACATTGTCCCTGAGCCTTTTTTTTTTTAACTCAAGACTAGCACTCCACCCCTTTGAGCCACAGTACCACTTCTGTTTCCTGTGGTAAACTGGAGATAAGAATCTCACAGACTTTTCTGCCTGGGCTGGCTTTGAACCTTGATGCTCAGATCTTAGCCTCCTGAGAAGCTGAGACTATAGGCATGTGCCACTGGTGCCTGGCCAATTATCAGATTTTTTTTTTTAATGGAAGTAGCTCAAGGAGTAGAGGGTCAGCCTTGAGTGAAAAAGCCAAAGGAGAGCACAAGGTCCTGAGTTCAAGCTTCATTCTTGAAATGCACAAAAATATCCAGCTGGGCACAGGTGGCTTATGTCTGTAATCCTAGCTACTCAGAAAGCTGAGATCTGAGGATCAAGATTTGAAGACAGCCTGAGCTGGCTTAGAGCCGTGGCTTAAGTGGTAGAGGGCTTGTCTTGAGGAAAAAACCTCAGAGACAGTCAGGCCTGAGTGCAAACTCCAGGATAGACAAAAAAACAAAAAACAAAAAAACATTTTTTACCCCAATCTTGGCGCCGATGACTCACAACTATAATCCTAGTTACTCAGGAGGCTGAGACTTGAGGATTGCAGTTGGAAGCCAGCCTAGCAGAAGAGTCCTTGAGACTCTTATCTCCAGTTAGTCAGCAAAAAGCCAGAACTGGTGGTATGGTTGACATGGTAGAGTTCCAGCCAGTGTGAAAAATCCAGGCCTTGAGTCCAAGCCCCAATACCTGAACAAAAAGAACATTTACCCTAATACTGCCTTGTCTCTTGCTTCATTTTCTTCCTTCCCATCATCTCTAAACACATCCAAATTAAACATACAGAATAAAGGCAGTGAAAAGATGACCAGGGGAACTCAACCTGCTAAAGTCATGCTTGTCTGTCAAACCTTACCTCTCCTACTCTCCTCTAGCATGGCCAACTCTCAGGTCTTGATCTTCCTGCTCAAGAAAAGTGTGGTTGTGGTCAACCATTTCTGCAGAAGCTGAGATGATTCACAAGTGTCTGCTCAATGAGCAAGTGGGTGAAGAGCATGTGGAGACCACAAGCCACATCCTGCTACTCCTTGCCACCGGGCACTTGGGCCTTTGGGCACCTAGGTGATGCCAGATGGGTCCTATGGTCCACACTCTGAGGCCTTCAGGGGTATGGAAGGCACAATAAAGTGTAGCTGTGCTCCCCCATAGCCTGTGCTACGTGCATGCACCTTGCCCTGCAAACTCTTCTCTAAAACTATTTTTAGAGCTACTACCTCTTCTTTTTTTTTTTTTTTGGTCAGTCTTGGCTGAACTCAGGGCCTGGGCACTGTTGCTGAACTCTTTCGCTCAAGGCTAGTGCTCCATCACTTTGAGCCACAGCTCCACTCCCGGTTTTCTAGTGGTAATTGGAGATGAGTCTCATGGACTTCCCTGCTTGGGCTGGCTTTTTTTTTTTTTTTTTTGACTGGCTGTTTTCACTGAGCACAATATATTTAATGTATTTTTATTGTGAAAAAATTGTACAGTGGGGTTACAATTACATGGGCAAGATAATGAGCACATTTCTTATCAAGCATTGTAGCCTCCTGCTTTGTTTCCCCTTCCCATCCCTTCCCATCCTCTCCCCCCCACCCCCGTCTCCCCCCACCAAAGTTGTAAAGTTCATTTTTCGACATAACAACTTGTACATCTCATAGTTGCAATGGGTCCTCCTGTATCCCCGTTTTAACAATTTGTTTTTTCTCTTCCCCTCCACATATACCAACATCATATATAGTGAAAGCAGGGGTTATACCATGGGGGAGGGACATACAAGGCAACAAAGACATAAACTTATAAATATGTTAGAAACAATCTCATGAAAGATCTTTCTCTCTCTCTTTGTCAGTCGTGAGCACAACATTTTTAAAGTTCATCCATAAAATGCATATATCTGACCATTCCCTACCTTTCTTTGGCTATGTAATATTCCACTGAACATACCACCTTCTGTAGTCATGTATTCATGATCATTTGGCAGACATTGGTGCTGTTCTCACTTTCTGATTATACTATGCATATGTACAAACATACAAGGTTTTCTGTGGACACGTCTCAGTTCTGCAGAGGATAGTTCAGGGTAGAAGTGCAGGGTAATGTAACTTTTGAGTTACCACCAAATACATTCCCAAAGTGACTGCACCAGTCTACAGTCCCAGTGTCCTAGACTTGCGATTTCTTCACATCTTCCATATCCTTATCACTGGAACTACTGTCTTTGTGGTTTGGAGTTATCTCATTAGGGTTTCAATTCCCTGTTTCTGTTAACAAGGCCCTTAGTTCAAGTCCAAGTACCATCTTTCTTACCCGCCCGTCTCTCACACACACACACATTAAACACAAAGACAGGGGCTGGGAAGGTGGCTCAGTGGTAGAGCGCTTGCCTTGCATGCATGAGGCCCTGGGTTCGATTCCCCAGCACCACATAAGCAAAAAGAAAAAAAAGCCGGAAGTGGCGCTGTGGCTCAAGTGGTAGAGCGCTAGCCTTGAGCTGAAGAGCTGAGGGACAGCGCCCAGGCCCAGAGTTCAGGCCCCATGACCGGACCCAAAAAAAAAAAAAAAAAAAAAACACAAAGACAGTGGGATGACACATACATAACATAACATATACAATTCCTTGAGCATTACTGAAAGTAACTGTAGAGCTCAAACAATAGAGTTTTTTTGTTGTTTTAAGGTCTTGTTCCAGTGGCTTGACTCAGGGCCCGGGCACTGTCCCTGAGGTTTTTTTTGCTCAAAGCTAACACTCTATCACTTCTGGTTTTTAGGTAATTAGATAAACGTATCACATTTTTGTTTGTTTGTTTGTTGCTGGTCATGGTGCCTGGACTCTGGGTCTGGGGGCTTTCCCTAAGCTCTTCAGCTCAAGGCTAGCGCTCTACCACTTGAGCCACAGCGCCATTTCCACCCTTTTCTGCTTATGTGGTGCTGAGGAATCGAACCCAAGGCCTTATGCATGCAAGGCAGGCACTCTACCACTGAGCTACCTTCCCAGCCCACATTTTTGTCATGCTTCCTGTCTCCTGACTCTCCTCAGGTCACCATAGTGTCCCTCTTTAGCTCTCCATTAGAGTTTATCTGGTTTGTTGAGGTTGTTTTTCTGCTCTTTTCTTTACTACTTTCATGGCTCAATTTATCAGTATTAAGCATATTCGAGGCTATTCGTTTTGGGGGACATGTGTCCACTTGCAGTTACCAGCTTTCTAATAAAGACTAGAGATTCAACCTCTAAAAAAAAAAAAAAAAAGCCAGGTGCCAGTGGTTCACGCCTGTAATCCTAGCTACTCAGGAGGCTGAGATCTGAGAATCGCGGTCTTTGCCAGTCCGGGCAGGAAAAGTCTGTGGGACTCTTATCTCCAATAAACTGCTAGAAAACTGGAAGTGACGCTATGGCTTTAAGCGATAGAGCACTCTCCTTGAGCAGAAGAGCACAGGGACAGCGGCCAGGCTCAGAGTTCAAGCTCCATGACTGACCAAAAAGAAAAAAAAAAAGTCTCACAGACTTTTTTGCCTGGGGTTGGCTTTGAATGGAGATCCTCAAATTTCAGCCTCCCGAGTAGCTAGGATTACCAGTGTGAGCCATTGTGCCTGGCTAGAGCAACTTTTTTTCCTCTGGTTGGTCCTGGGCACAAACTCAGGGCCTGGATGCTGTTCCTGAGCTCTTTTGCTCAAGGCTAGCACTCTACCAGTTTGAGTCACAGCTCCACTTCCTGTTTTTGAGTGGTTAATTGGAGATAAGAGTCTTTTAGACTTTCCTCCAGGGACTGGCTTTGAACTATGATCATCAGATCTCAGCCTTCAGAGTAGCTAGGATTACAGGCATGAACCACTGACACTTGGCTTAGAGCTCCTTTATCTAAAATTTAAAAAAAAAATTGAGTGAGGGAAAGGGTGACATTTTCCAAAAAGAAATGTACTCTTTACCTGACATGTAAATGTTACCCTTCTGTACATCACCTTTTTAATAACAATAAATTTTTAAATTTTTTTTCAAGGTCTCCAGTCTCCAGTCTGTGTAGTCTAATAAACATGAAGGAAACCAAGGCCTTGCAGCCACAGGATTATAAGAATTCCAGGTAGAGAAATGACATGCTGAGTTCCAGAACTCAGTCTTCCTATTTTCTCCCCTTTTCATTTTTGGGATACCCAGAGAAGGCCCAAGGTAAAGAACCTATACCCCCAATAAAAAGCATCTTCAATAATAGTAACAACAACAGCAACAATAAAAGGGTTTTTGGCTAGGGGTGGTACTGAGTTGTGACCCTTGTGTTCTACTACTTGAGTCACACCTATTCCAGTCCTTTTTGCTCTGGTTATTTTTTAAAATTGTTATTATAAAGATGATCTACAGATGGGTTACAGTTACATATGTCAGGTAAAGAGTACATATCTTGGGCTGGGAAGGTGGCTCAGGGGTAGAGCGTTTGCCTTGAGCTGAAGAACTGAGGGACAGTGCCCAGGCCCAGTTCAGGCCCCACGACCGGACCCAAAAAAAAAAAGAGTACATATCTTTTTGGACAATGTTACCACTTCCCTCTAGCTCTCTCTCCCCCTGAGCTGGTTATTTTTGAGACAGGGTCTTGCTTTCTGTCCAGAGCTGGCCTGGATTTGATCCTCCTATTTCAGTTTGCCCACCATAACTGAGATAACAGGTATGTATCACCATGCTCCATTTCTTCGGTTAAGATGTGGATTCATAAACCCTTTTTCCCTGGGCTGGTTGGGAATTGTAATCCTCCTGATTTCAGTTCTCCAAGTAGCTGAACTATGGAAGAGAATCCCCAATAGGCAGCTGTTATTTCTTAAGGTCTGATGATCCGAACACGTGATGGGAAGTCCTGGACAGAAGGGCCTAAATGCAGCGGTGACACCCACAGTCAAAATGAGAGAGCAGCAGAGCCACCTTCCAAAGGGTGGAATCACTTCCTTCCCCGAAGCTAAAACTAGGCTAAACAAGTGTTTTCTAGCAGCAAAGAGCAGACACTGGAGAACAGGGAGGAGGCAGACCAGAGTTGCAGACAGGCAGCTGTAAATGGTGGTTCTGTTAGATTATGAACTCTAGGCCCCGGAACTTCAGTCCCTGAGGGGCTGGTTACACTAGCTGGCAGCTGCTAGGTGTCCTGCAGAGAACACAGAAAAAAAAAAAATCCCTGTGTGGTTTTCTTTTTCTTTATTTTTCTTATTGGCTGGTGCTCTATCACTGAAGCCACGCCCCCAACCGGCTCCCTAAAGTGGTTTTAAGAGGAGCACACTGGGGTGATAGAGTAACTGTTCAAGTTTTCCTTCTCTTCTTTTGAGCGTCACACCTCCTCCCTGGCACCTGCAGCTGGCACAGGGACCACAGACAAGAAACCATATGAGAAGGTTAAAGTAAGAGGAGGTGGAAGAGGATGGTGGAGTGGGTTGGGAAGGTGGGGTTGGTGGCTCACGCCTGTAATCCTAGCTACTCAGAAGCTGAGATCTGAGGGTCCAGGTTCAAAGCCAGCCTAAGCAGGGAACTCTGTGAGCCTTCTCTCCAATAACCACCAAAAAGCTGGGACTGGCACAAGTGGTAGAGCACCAGCCTAGAATGGAAAAAGCCAAGCAGGAGTGTGAGGCCTTGAGTTCAATCCCCAGGGCCAGCACAAAACAAAAACACAGAAACAAAGTGAGAGGCAGAGGGTTTTCATCCCCAAATATCTTTGTTCCTCATACTCTTAAACCAGCACACCATGACCTTTGACTTCCAAACCACAGACCAAAGACACTTTTCTTTCCCTAGCATTTGTCCACCAAAAGGCTGGATCAAGATGGAGGCATTTTATGCCAATCTCTGTTTAGCAGTTTCCGAGCTTCCACCAGCGTGTGTGTGTGTGTGTGTGTAAAACTATCCACTCTATTCCATTCATCAACTCAGGCT